AAACCCCCCCCGGCAAAACCCCTTAAAATTTTTAAAGTTTTGGGGAAAAAAATTGGGAAACGGGGAAAGAAGAGGTGTAAAAGCTCATCAATGGAGGACGAAGAAGGAACCTCACTAAAAACAGTTAGTTGTGAGTAAGGTTCCAATTTGCCTGATTAAATTGCAGCTGTGGGATACGAAGAGGTGGTGATATGAAGGGGAAGTAAAATGATTCAGAAAATGATCACTGTCATGTAAATCCAGGAGAACAGACCAGGTGAAGTCTAATGTGGTGGAGGAAGAGCAGACTGAGAGATCGATGCAAGAGAGAGTGTGAGTCCGAGGATCAAAATGGGTGTGAGTACCTGTATTTAAAACATGGAGGTGTGGGTAGCAAGAAAAGCCTCTAACTGATGCCACAGGAATCAGTGAAACCCCCCAGAGGAAATGATGGGCATTAAAATACGCCAAGTAACAGAGCGGTGGCGGTAATGAGAAACAAGAAAGGAAATATCCGGAATAGATGATGCCCGGATGGAGAGAGATATAGAGAACAGAGCATATACCACCTATGCAAGTGGATATGGGCTGCTGTGTAATGCAGCAAAGTACGAACAAATAGCTGATGGTAGGAATATCAGTGCATAGAAGAAGGGCACTTTCATTAAAGGTCCCATCAGAAAAGGATCTGAAGAATACATAAATTATAGCCTGAGATGGGATAGATAACAGCAGAGTATAATTTTGGTTCCTGTAAGCAAACACACAACAGGGGAAACTGGAGAGTAACATCTGAAGCTCACTCCGATTAACTGAGGCTGCATATATTCCACTGTAAATAGGCCATGATTGGCAATGATAAAGATATCTGAAATCCGCAGATAAGGGCTCCTATGGACTAGATGGGTTAGAAAAGTCCACATGCGGAGGCAGCGGAAAACGTTCAAGCAGCGAAGGAATGGTGCGCTGTGAAGAAAGGAGTTGCGCAGATGGAGGAGAGGAGAGAGAAGGAACAGAGGGTGGATCAGAGTCCATTGATGTTTGGTCTCTGCAATAATATTCAGAGATTGCTTCAAGTGTTTAGGAATTCAGAGACGTCGTATGGGGGACAATATTGAGATGGTAGGGGGAGGATGAGTAAAGAATGGAACTGTAATGGACTGTACCAAGGGAGGGGGTGAAGGGTGGAGGGAACTGGAGAAGAAGCTGGAAAAGGACTGAAGAGGCAGAAACCTTGGGGGTGGCAGAAGAGGAAGAAACTTGGGAGGGAACAGGGGAGGAAGGTAACAGTACAGAGAGGGTGAGCCCGACTCTTTAACAGAGCCAGTGAGAGGGGAAGAACCAGGTACAAAGACGGGAAGGTAAAATGATGAGGTGAAGAAGGAAGGAGGGGTTAAGGACTTTTTTTTTGACTTCTGGAAGTATAGGGATGATTGGGAGGAGGTGTCGTACAAGAATCTCGGCGATACTTAGGCTTTTGAGGGAGAACAGAAGAAGCGAGAACAACTGCTCCATGAAGTAAGGGACGCGTCTGACCTAGAACAACAAAAGAAATTAGAATCAGGAGTGACTATGGTGAGGTAACCACAGAGGAGGCTGCAAGAAATGGGACCCCAGAAGTGTGGGAACGTTTTTGAAACTCGGGAATAAGAAACACTAGGTAGTCCTCCCTTGGAGGCGGAGATGAGAAACTTTCATGAAACATAAGGGAGACCTTCTGCCTCTTTGAGGTAATGGATACTCGCTCATTAAGTAGACTGGCAACGGCGAGAGTACGAAGGGTGAGCTCATGAACAATTAAGGCAAAGGGAGGTCGATTGCAAGGATGTATTAGAATGATCATCGGCAACCACAGACTTGGCATTCGCTATGATCTGCAATAATTTGCTGGATGGGCCCAAATCGCCGAGCAATTTCTACACTGTTTGCAGTGTAGATCACCCGTTCGAGCTTGTAACCAATTGTCCTGCTACATAAACTGAGGATGGGAGTTCATGGCTGTTCAAAAGCTAAAGAAGCCATATTGCCTAGGAATCGTCTCCGCCCAACGGCAGGAAGAACATAAAGTGTCTACTTCAGGATTGGGAGATCTTGGAGTTTCCCAGCTGTTCAAGAATGTCATTGCCATATGTCTGGAAATTTTGTTAAACTATGGTATGTGGGGCAGAATGAGTACCAACTACAAGAATTGAGGAATGATGTTTTTCAATTAGTGACAGGACAGTATCGATATGGGAAAGAAGAGAAAGATCATGAGCTTGGGTAGCATTTGTACAGTGATGAGGAGTATACCACTCTTAACTACAAGAAAAGAAATTTCCTTTACTAACATGCGTAGATGCCTTGCCAATACTGTGGTCAAAAGATAGGCAGTAGAGAAGTCCATCATAAAGTAAGAATTTTAGCCCATAGTGCATTCTGAAACTGAGCGTGGAAAGGGAGTGTCAGGACATGTTCGATCTTTTTGAGAAGAACGA